GAACCCCCCCAGTTCCCCCAGCCGCTCCCCAGCAGACCTGTGCTCCAGACCCTGCCCCAGCTCCGTTGCCCTTCTCTGGCCACGCTCGAGTCATTCAATGGCCTTTTTGGGGTGAGGGGCCCAAAACTGAACCCAGGAATTGAGGGGCGGCCTCACCAGTGCCGAGCACAGGGCTCAGATCCCTTCCCTGTCCCTGCTGGCCACGCTATTTCTGACACAAGCCAGGATGCCATTGACCTTCTTGGACCCCTGGGCACACTGCTGGCTCCTGTTCAGCTGGCAGTGATGGCCAGGGTGCAACTACATTGTCCAACAGATACTGGGCGCTGCTACGTCTGCTCCACTGCTCCCAGATGAGATTTGGTCCTTTGCTTCCCTTCTCAGCCCCAAACCAGCTGAAAAGACACAGTGTCTGACTGCAGGAATGACTCAAGCCAGGAGCCTGTTTTCACAGCTGACCTCAACCCTCAGGTTGAGACATGCATCCCAGCTCCCCCAGTGCCAGTAATACACCCCTCAGTGCAACCACCACCCCGAGGCCACGAGGTGCTCACTGAGCACAGAAAATAGAGCAATTACTGCTCCTGCCTGATGATGAAAAGTGGCATCTCATGACACCAAGAGCCCCAGAACATCAGCTGAAGCCAGCAGAAGTTACAAGCACTCAGCATCCTGTAGGATCATGCTAGTAGTTACCCTCTGCAAATGTTAACTTTAGTACAATAATAACAGTGTTTTATTGATAAAAGGTGTGGAAGAGAAAGGAAACTGATGGCAATTGTAGGTGTTGTTAGACTGTGGTTTGCGACCGCTTCAAAATGTCATTTATTAGCAAATCTTGCATGAATTTCACATAAAACCCAGGCAAGTCCAGCAAGTGGTTTATGACTTGTATGATACTGATTTAATGTTCATTGGAGCAACATGGGATGAGCAACATGATCAAGGTCACATTCCAGCCCGTGGATGCTGCACACATGGCTCTGCTGAGTTAATGACTACTAATTGGTCCAATAATGGAGTAATTCAGTGGGAATTGAAGCAGCACTTTGCTTGGGGTTTGTCACACCGGGAGCAGTCTAGGTGTCTGTAGCAAACCAGAATTCAGCTGATGTGACAAGCAAGAAGAGCAGCTTTCCAGTGACCTCCCTGCTCCTCCCGCAGTGCTTCACCCCAACAAACAGCATCCCAGTCCTCGTCCCCATCTGGTGCCAACCCTGCAGAAAGCTCTCTAACCTCCTGAGTCAGTGGGTAGGGGCTCACCTTCAGCTTGTGCTCGTGCTCCTTGTTGACCCGGGACAGCAACTGGGCTTTCCTTCTGTTGAGGGCGTCAATGAGGGCGTCACACTGGGCCACCAGGCAGGCCTCGAACTCCACGCTGTTCTCCTGTGGGTCAGAGTAGACAATCACAGCCCGGGGCGTGTCTCCATTTCAGTTGGGAAACCTGTTTGCATTTTTTTTTTATGATACCACATTGGCCATTTTTATATGTGGGGCTGCACCACCGCGACTCACAGGTCCATGGCATTAGCAAGTGGGTTGCTCATGCCCTTGGCTCATGGTAAATGTGGTGGTGGCTGGTGAGGAACAGGTTTGGTCTGTCCTGCCACATCCTTGGATCTACTTATGGTAGAGATGGGAAGGGCTGGTGTCTCTGCTGCCCCCCCTGTGACACAGGCAGCTTTGGGAAGAGCAGTTTTTGGGTGGGCTGCAGGGGGTAATATGAAAGATCAGGTGTGGGCCCCTTTGGGAGAACACCCACCAAACCAAGCTGGGGACATGGGACAGAGGATCACAGAGAGCAGCTCAGCTTGGTGGGAAAGGGCTGTTCCTTGGCCAAGAGACACAGTACCTGGATTTGCTGCACCATGTTGCGGAGTTGGACCAGGAACTCTTTTGCTTCCTTGGCTCTGTCTGACAAGCCGTTCAGGGCCTGGGAAAGCTGGCTCTGCAGAGGGAAGAAAGAGTGAAGTCATTTCCATGTCCTGGTCTCATCCTTGTACTGGAGGAGCTGATGTGTGTCTGATTTGGACAGGGGATGGGCTGCAGCCCAGTGGTGCCTTCCTGGGGTGTGCAGCCTTCAGCAACCCACAGGCTGCCCTGAGTGTAAGGAGAGGAACAGGAGGATTAACCATCATCACAGATGCCCTGGGTGCATGAAGCAGATATTCAGTGCCCACCTCCAACAGAGGCTTCCCTGGGTGATCAGTGACAAGCCACATCCACCCTGGGTCTCAAAGTGAGCCAGTCACTACCTCCCCTGGATCTGTGCTCTCCAGGAAGCCAGACACCAAAAACTCTGTAGGATCTGACCCATGTCTGCTGAGGATGACCAGCAAAAGGGCACAGGTCAGACCACCCGAATCAGACTGAAAAACTTCCAGTCCCTCCTGAAAGCTAAGGTAAAGCAGAGTCGTCCCCTGCCATGCAAAATACCAACTGCCCCTTCCTCCTCCAGTGCTAGGAGTGGGAGCAAACACCCACAGCCTGAACTGAGCAGCGTAACACAGCAATAATAACAATCATGTCCTGTGCTTTTACATTTTAACGGTGCTTTCCCAACATTAATTCAGGAATCTTCCCCTTTTGCCATGATTTCAGTAAGTTATTATCTCAAGAGCAGGGCAAATCACCTGCAGTAATTTACCTCTAGGAGAGATTCTGCCTCTTTTGTGGGCTGCAAATTGCCTGCAAACACCATGTAGGTGTGATCTTTCTTTGTGGAGCCCAGAAGATGGCTGGTGTCCCCAAATCTCCAAAAACATAATGTGACCTCCCTCCTGTGATCAGGACGTTGGCACCAGGCTGGCATCTGCTCTGTCGTGCTGTGCTTCCCCGGATGCTGGCAGAGGGAAAGGAAGGAGGGAAGAGGGGAGAGGGGAGTGATGGCACAGAAGGGATGCGAGGTCACCGGAGCGCAGCGCCTGATGAGATGGCGCTGGGCTGAAATGGTGAAAAAAAGAATTGCTATTGAAGAGACGAGGTAGCAAACGAATGGCGACCACTTAATGGCCCAGAAAATGACCTTCCCGCTGCTTCCCCGGGAGATGTTAATATAACCCTAGTGATTTCTGCATTTCCTTTGTAATTTATCGTGCCCGAGTCATTAGGATGTGGAGCTAATCAGCGAATGCATCTCTAATAAAAATGGGATTGCTAAGTCAGCTCAGCAGGGCCTCCCCACCTCTCCTCCCTCCCCTCCCTGAGCTGAAAGAGAGCCGAGGCTGGAGCCCGAGCTGCTCCCCACGGCCCTGGCAGCCCCACACACCGCAGGAACAACCCATTCCTGCCTCATCCTCCCTGCTGTGCCCCTGCAAAAGCCTCCCTCAACCTGCTCCACGGTCGCCTTCCATAGCCCACGCACTGCTCCGGCCCTCCCAGATTTAGGAACCTGTCTTAAGCCCAGCAAGGTGGTTTGATGAGAACTGAGAGCTGCAGGGCCTCGGTCTTCGAGAATGCAGGCAATTAATAGAGAAAATCAGCAGGAGTTTGTTATGTTTACAAGCTCCTCATTATAATTGCAGCATGGTGTATTTTTTTCCTTTAATAAAGTTTTGGGGAGAGTTTTTCATCTATACACATACATTTCAGAAAGGACATCTTTATATCAACATAACTCTCTGAGGTCTTCCTAATGGGAAAGCATTTTAAATGTGCTTTTAAAATTTAATAAGAGCTCTGTGACACCAGTGTGCACTGTCCATGGGCAGCTCCTTCACCCCGGACTCACAGCATGTCTTCCACAGCACAGCAAGCTCTGAGCCTGTCCACAAAAAGAAAAAGCTGGTCTGTTGCCTTCAGAGCATCCCTCCCCACAGTCTTATGCTGCATCCCCCTTCTCACCTCAGCCCTTCCCTCTGCCTGAGATGCCACCAGTGCCTGCAGGCAAGGGGCAGGAGCTAGTCAGGGAACTGTATTTTTCTACAATTGTAAGGTTGGTAGATGCACAGTGGACAGCCTGCCCCATCCCTTACCCCTGACATGGAGAATGGGTCACTCACACGAGCATGTCCAGCTCACAGTGATGTGCACAAGAGCCTGTGCAAAGCTGGTGATGCCAGTTCCCATGTGGCCACAGGCCCCTCACTGCCCATGGGAGCTCTAAGGTTTAGTTGTTCATCAGCACGAGCTTCGCGCCAATCTCCAGGAAGGGTCCCCATCATGTCACAGAATCACAGAATCATCAAGGTTGAAAAAGCCCTTTAAACTCCTCCAGTCCAACCATGAACTTCACCCTGACTGTTCCCAACTCCCCCAGATCCCTCAGCGCTGGCTCAGCCCGACTCTTCAGCCCCTCCAGGGATCCCGGGGACTCCCCCCTGCCCTGGGCAGCCCATTCCAACGCCCAACAGCCCCTTCTGCACAGAAATCCTTCCTCAGAGCCAGCCTGACCCTGCCCTGGGCAGCTTGAGGCCATTCCCTCGGGGCCTGGCGCTGGCTCCTTGGCTCCAGAGACTCATCCCCCCTCTCTGCCCCCTCCTGGCAGGGAGTTGCAGAGGGCCAGGAGGTCTCCCCTCAGCCTCCTCTTCTCCAGACTGAACCCCCCCAGTTCCCCCAGCCGCTCCCCAGCAGACCTGTGCTCCAGACCCTGCCCCAGCTCCGTTGCCCTTCTCTGGCCACGCTCGAGTCATTCAATGGCCTTTTTGGGGTGAGGGGCCCAAAACTGAACCCAGGAATTGAGGGGCGGCCTCACCAGTGCCGAGCACAGGGCTCAGATCCCTTCCCTGTCCCTGCTGGCCACGCTATTTCTGACACAAGCCAGGATGCCATTGACCTTCTTGGACCCCTGGGCACACTGCTGGCTCCTGTTCAGCTGGCAGTGATGGCCAGGGTGCAACTACATTGTCCAACAGATACTGGGCGCTGCTACGTCTGCTCCACTGCTCCCAGATGAGATTTGGTCCTTTGCTTCCCTTCTCAGCCCCAAACCAGCTGAAAAGACACAGTGTCTGACTGCAGGAATGACTCAAGCCAGGAGCCTGTTTTCACAGCTGACCTCAACCCTCAGGTTGAGACATGCATCCCAGCTCCCCCAGTGCCAGTAATACACCCCTCAGTGCAACCACCACCCCGAGGCCACGAGGTGCTCACTGAGCACAGAAAATAGAGCAATTACTGCTCCTGCCTGATGATGAAAAGTGGCATCTCATGACACCAAGAGCCCCAGAACATCAGCTGAAGCCAGCAGAAGTTACAAGCACTCAGCATCCTGTAGGATCATGCTAGTAGTTACCCTCTGCAAATGTTAACTTTAGTACAATAATAACAGTGTTTTATTGATAAAAGGTGTGGAAGAGAAAGGAAACTGATGGCAATTGTAGGTGTTGTTAGACTGTGGTTTGCGACCGCTTCAAAATGTCATTTATTAGCAAATCTTGCATGAATTTCACATAAAACCCAGGCAAGTCCAGCAAGTGGTTTATGACTTGTATGATACTGATTTAATGTTCATTGGAGCAACATGGGATGAGCAACATGATCAAGGTCACATTCCAGCCCGTGGATGCTGCACACATGGCTCTGCTGAGTTAATGACTACTAATTGGTCCAATAATGGAGTAATTCAGTGGGAATTGAAGCAGCACTTTGCTTGGGGTTTGTCACACCGGGAGCAGTCTAGGTGTCTGTAGCAAACCAGAATTCAGCTGATGTGACAAGCAAGAAGAGCAGCTTTCCAGTGACCTCCCTGCTCCTCCCGCAGTGCTTCACCCCAACAAACAGCATCCCAGTCCTCGTCCCCATCTGGTGCCAACCCTGCAGAAAGCTCTCTAACCTCCTGAGTCAGTGGGTAGGGGCTCACCTTCAGCTTGTGCTCGTGCTCCTTGTTGACCCGGGACAGCAACTGGGCTTTCCTTCTGTTGAGGGCGTCAATGAGGGCGTCACACTGGGCCACCAGGCAGGCCTCGAACTCCACGCTGTTCTCCTGTGGGTCAGAGTAGACAATCACAGCCCGGGGCGTGTCTCCATTTCAGTTGGGAAACCTGTTTGCATTTTTTTTTTATGATACCACATTGGCCATTTTTATATGTGGGGCTGCACCACCGCGACTCACAGGTCCATGGCATTAGCAAGTGGGTTGCTCATGCCCTTGGCTCATGGTAAATGTGGTGGTGGCTGGTGAGGAACAGGTTTGGTCTGTCCTGCCACATCCTTGGATCTACTTATGGTAGAGATGGGAAGGGCTGGTGTCTCTGCTGCCCCCCCTGTGACACAGGCAGCTTTGGGAAGAGCAGTTTTTGGGTGGGCTGCAGGGGGTAATATGAAAGATCAGGTGTGGGCCCCTTTGGGAGAACACCCACCAAACCAAGCTGGGGACATGGGACAGAGGATCACAGAGAGCAGCTCAGCTTGGTGGGAAAGGGCTGTTCCTTGGCCAAGAGACACAGTACCTGGATTTGCTGCACCATGTTGCGG